ATGTGAGAAGCTAAAGGCTAATAGTTCCCACACACACACACACAAGAAACACAGCGGCCCAGGTTCCAATAAATCTTCCACTGGTATTTTTAGTCGGGTGTAAGCGCAGAGGGGCTAAATCCCAGAGGAGCCTGGTCAGCTTTGACAGAGGTGTTGAACAGGCTGAGGAGGAAATGACAGCAATTAGCAGACAGGAAACAGTGCTTTTACCAAAGGGCCCCACATTCAGGCTGCGACGAGTCGAGCTTCTGTTCGGGCTCTGCTGGGAATCGGTCAACATCTCTATTATCGCCTGTTTGTCTCGTGTGATAAAGGCTGTGTGTGTTTACAGGCATTTCATATCTAATAGCTGACAGATGCAAAGCTGAGAAACAGACCTTTACAGACCGGTCTTTATGATTTATTGTAACGCCTGCAGAAAAAAAGACCCTCACTAGTAAATAGTTCACAGTGTGATTATCCAACAGGTCAGAAATGATCAGATGTCCTGCAGGGAGAGATCTGTGCATCAAGGCCCCATTAAATGGTTTCATTTCCTCCTAAACGGATGTCAGTCCCGGTGAACCTGACTTACCGTGACTCTTGATCCACATCTTAGCTCCACCCTCTGCTTCACACCTCTTTAACATCCCCAGACAGCGTTTATAAATGCTGCTCTACACTGGGCCTGTGGGTGTACTCCAGCAAAGTTGGAGAAATGTGAGGATATAAAGTGCATTTTTAAGTCACTCTAAGACACTCCCTCTCCCATGATCATTTGTGTCAATAGGCTAATGGAAGAAATAAAAAGGTTCTGCTTTATTTCCTGACATTTCACCTGGATCATTGGTGTAAACAGACGCACACTGGCCATACAGGACATTTCCTGTATGGTATAAACCACAGAATGACGAGTAGAAGCATATGAATGATGACCCGTTTGGCTTTCAGTGCAGGTGCTGACATTCTCCTGCTTGACACTGAGAATACGTCACGCCGTGCAGCAGCTGACAGAGAGTGACGGCAGCAGCTCTGGTCTGATAAGCTAAGGCTCTGGGGAAGAGAACAGCTCCAGCTCTCAGCTCAGCCACACAGAAACACTAGCACTATTCTGGTCACAGCACCACTCGCCACTTACAGGACACTATACGCCTGATTAGATCTGCTCTCAAGGCCATTTTGGTGGCATCTGAGAGGACAGCTGGCCATTCAAACTAAACTGTGCTGCAGTGTCTCACTAGCCGACAGAGAAATGATTCAAACACTCAGATGCAGCTGCTATTACCGTTCAGTCACGTCAGACATTTCCTAAAACGTTTTCAGGTAAACGCACTAAACCAGACTTCCTTTCAGGTTTTATTGATTTTATTCCTCTTGGTGAGAGATGCTGTTTGTGCAAAGTACAGCCAGTTAAATATGATCCCGCTGCATCTGAGGCTCCAAACTCCTTCACCCAGAGAAGCAGCTGAAACCGAAGCTAACCGAAAGAAAACCTCTGACTGAGGTCTTGGTGAAACAGAAATTAGCCCTTTATTTCATAAGCAGCGAGGGCGTGGTTTATCACTGCTGTGATATCAATAAAGAAAATGCATTTATCTCAAAGGTCAGAAAACTGACACCGCTGATTTATTATCTGTTGGAAGTGTCAAATGCTTCTATATGAGAGGAGGCTCAGAAAACACTGGATCTCAAAACAGCAGTTTCACCAACAGACACCTTTGTGTTTGTCGGAGCTAAACCCTGCTGTTCACATGCAGCCACACCTTCCATTTGTCTTTGGAAAGCTCTACACTGATATTAAAGTGACGTTACACATGATTTTCAGTGAAGTAGAGATTTCCTCGTGCTCTCTAAAACACATGGTTGTTTCATAATTATCTGCATGAAAGCATGAACAAATAAACAAATTCAACCAGTCCACCTTCTTTCAGACAATAAGGGAGTGTTAGAAGCCAGCTGAAACTGTGGACATCATGTCCCTGAAGCTGTGCCACAGTAAAAACTGTCTCCGTCCTCTGACAGTAGTTTATTGTTCCCCTGTTTGGTAAACCTGAACATGTTCACACACAGACAGTAAATAATAAGTGCACTACAGTGCAGCAGTGGTTTGAGACGTAAGACCATTTTCAGCCAAACCTACTAACCCGACTAGATTCATGACATTCGGACATGCAGAAGCAGAACCATCGAATCAGTCTGTGCTATCAATGTGTTTGTTGTTCCTCTGCTTAATGTTTAAAACATGCCGTCCGCATTTACATCTACAAACCAGATTTTCTCACTTAAGTGTCAGTCATAGAGCGAGTGAGCCAAGCCCTGCTCTCAGGGGTCAAAGGTGAACAGTGGTGTCACCTCCTGTCAGGCTGACAAGAGCAGCAGAGGAGAGCCTGATGGATGCATGAAGTTTGCTGTTGCCGTTTTCTCCATAAGAAAACTTCCTTATTCACTGCAGAGGTTGTCATTTGTCCCGGCCAGAGAAGCAGTGAACGGAACCAGAGCAGTCAAGTGAGTTTGGGGAAAAGCTCCAAGTCAAAGCCAGAACTGAGACAAAACGCTGTTTTCAAATGTATCTGCATTAATGAGGTCGCCCCCACTTTCCCACCGTTACTGGCCTGAGCTCGGAAAGGTTAATGAGCTCAGAGGAACTGCTCAGGGGTCCTTTTGTTAGGGGCTTTTATTGTGGAGGGACAATTTACATACAAAAGGGACACACACACACACCAGAACTGGCATAACTATGCAGGAGCTGGCTGCCAGGGCCAACACACACACACACGCACACCTCTGGTGAACAGTGCCAAAACACAACACACACTCACAGGTTAATTAGCCTCCAATTAGGAGTAGCTGTTCACTTTCACATGGAAACTCAGCAGTGTGAGAGGAGGAGGATGAATCAGCCTCTGTGTGTGTAGAGAAGTGAGAGCTCTGTGGTTTTTATTACCCAGCATGCTCTGGGCCTGCTGGAAACTTTCTAATACCCCTTTGTGTACTGCAGTTCCTGCTCACACCGATACACATCAGGGTTTCTACAGGTTGTCAGAGTTAAAGCAACACAATGCAACAATTTGTGGTCATATGCCTTGCGTTTAAATTTATAGAGAGGGATGAACGCTCCAGTGACTGTGGCATTTGACTACTGGGGATTTGAGAATTCTGTCTGAAAATGATTGTGAAAACATTTTACTTGTGTTATAGTTGCTTTCTGATCTATCTCCAATGAATCTGTGGCATCTCATAAGCTTATGACTCAATAACAAACTTCACTGATTTATTATGTTTAATAAAAATGAGACCATGACTGATGAAACACTTTGAGTTAAGAGAAATATTAAAAGTCAGCGGGGATGCTTTGTAAAACTAATGATCTGGACACAGACACTCCTCTGCAGGCATCACTTGTCAGTTCTGCATGAAAGCACACATTTATTATGATCTGGCTCAAAATATTACACCTGCACATCATGACACGTTCTGGTGGAAAATGCAATTAGCATAACTTAACCTTCAAAGTGGCTGCTTGGCTGAGCGTTACATGCTCTAAATTAATGTAAATGTTTTGTGAAGCAGCTGCAGGAGGAGGAGGAAGCCTCTGTCTCTCAACCAGCAAAAGGGAGGTTTTCCTCAGGAAACTCACTGTGATAGCAGAATAAAGTTCCACTGATCCGCAACGGAGACCAGCAAACACCGGCACAGGCTTTCAGCATGAACTGTGTTATAATGTGACTACATACACAGCTGGGTGACAGATGAGAGGCCAAACCACCACCCATCATCCAGCAGGGCCTCATCAGGGCCAAGTCTCTAGAGCAGCATCAGGTCTCCTCTGTTGGAGGAGGAAGTGTCCTTCCAAACCAGATCCCCTCACTGTGCCCAACCCACTGTGTCATCCTCATGAAGCCATTCAGTGACATAGAGCTGCAGCCATCAGTCAGTTCACTGGTAGAAATGAACCGGCACCTTTTTAGAAGCAACAGTCACTGACATGTTCTGGTTCCACCTTTAATGTGAGGACCTGATGCTTTTCTTTGTCAGATTTGAGAATCAGCTGAGTCTCTGTGGGTCTGCTGGTTGGACACAACAAGACGTGTGGAGACACCACCTTTGGCTCTGGAGAGTCACAGTGGGACTTCTTCCCAGTGTCTGACATTCTGGGGATAAACAGATCAATCAGATCATCAGGACAGTGATCAGCTGATTGATCAGTGACCAAGCTGGTTGGGTTTCAGTCAGTCACGAGTCTCCTCTCACCATCTGTACATTTGTAGTAACTCAACAAAGTGAATTCAGTGTTAAGTTCCCATGTAAAGCAGCTAAGACTGGTATTTTTATAAAACAAATGTTTGACAAGACAATTATCTGCTGCCGCTTCCATCAGCTTTACACTGTGCCCAAACTGCTCATCACACTGTTCCGGTGTAAGACGAGGGAGGAGTCTGTATCCAACTTTTCCTTTAACTCTCTGAAAGCGACAATCCAACACACATGCTCAATTTCACACTCATTTCCTGGACAAACCAGGGATTAAATAGTTTCTGAGCTCACTTTTCACTCTTCACACAAATCTACATGTGAATGAAAGAGGTCGACACTATGAATGTCTTCCACAAGAGACTGTATGAAAATGTGAGGCGTTATCTCTGTCACATCTCCCACTCTCTATACAGATGGCTTTTCACTCAGTGCAGATGCTTAGCTCAGGTGTAGACACTTCAGATTTTTGCTATGGCCGCCAACTGTTTGCTAACAGCAGATCTAAAAAGATGAAACTACATCAGTGCTGGGTTCACCGCTTGTTTCTGTTTCTAAAAACAAGGCGACAACATCAGTCACTGCAGGTTTCAGCACGAATTTAACTGATCAACTGTTATGTCAGTAATTTGAAGTTTCATGAAACCCTGCTGCAGCCAGAACATCAAGCTTCTTGACTTTTCCACTGATATGACTGAAACCACAGCCACAGGAATCTTTCCCATCTCAACCTGAACACAACATAAAGCCAGGTAAACAACCTCTCCTACCAGACTGCCGTTCTTCAGGTTCATCTCTGAAGACTCTGCTGATCTTGCGAGAGAATGAGGTGATGAAGCTGCTGACAGCGGGAGAACTTCGCTCAGCATCTGATCCCACCTTCCTGAGCACTGTCCTCTCGGGGCCAGTACCTGTACCAGGCTCAGACATGGACCTGAGGTAGGGGAAGATCCTGCGCAGAGACCTGGCCCTCATATGGCCTTCATGGGATTGATCTCCGCTCCTGTCATTTGGGGAGGTGCTGACCCTCGGTAAGCTGAGCAGCCGCAGGTGAGGGGTCTCTGTGCCTTGCCGTTGGTCCTCAGGGGCAGCAATCTTGGCTGCCCTCGGTGCCAAATGACCAGATGTCCTCCACTTGTATCTGTCTAGTGGCTGCTCGGGAGCCGGGTGGGAGTGGAATCTCTGCCAAGGCTTCCTGAAATGGTGCCAACTGTAGGAGGCCTGACAGGGACGCAGGACTGGGCCCTCGCAGCCCTCAGGGGAGGGTCTACTTTTATTCATGGTCCAGCAAACACAGGCCCCTTCCAGGCCGCAGGAGCAGGCAGATAGAGGCCAAAATAGCTGGTTTGCAGACCGCTGTTGTCCAACACGCACATACTAGCCTAACAACACATCCGTGATCGGAGTCGTCAGATCGGTGTTGCCCTCATGTTAATGGTGAGTTAAAGCTCCTGCCTCGCTCTTTCTCAACAAGCTGGTGACTGTCTTCCTGGGAGGAAGTTGAGCGTCAGATGTAGACCAAGTTTCTTTAGAGCGCAGCCAATCAGGTTTCACCAAACAGCAAAGCTGCAGACTGTGGTTTCCCGTATGAACAGGCTAGAAACTGAAACTGCCCACACAGTTTAGTGTGTCAGCCTTCTGTTTGCTCTCATCAGTGTAAAAACACAACACATAAAGCTACTAGTCAGGATTTCTGGTCTCAACTGTTCAAGCGCTCATTATCAGACACAAGTTACAGAAACACAATGCTTTGGTCTGTGCACCTCAGTTTAGTTAGAGCTCCTGAACCAACCAATTAGTCCCCAGAAAGATTCACTATGACCGGAATGGAAAGTCTCAGTTTCCATTGATATGCCATAAATCTGCTGCCTCCAGACTCAGTGTGAATATGTGCTGCATTTCTTTGTCTTGTATGACAATTAGTTGAGTGCTCTCGGGCCTCCAGCTGAGCCAGGAGCTTATAAATATTCATTATTGTTAGAGAATACCAGCCACCCTCTCTTCCTCCTCCCCTCGCAGGGCCAGAGGCCTCTGCGTTCAGACAGGAAACAGGACCAGCATCCCACAGGGAGGGGACATGGTTAGAAGACCCATCCTTCTGAGCCAAGAGAGACAAGATGAGACCAGAGGACACTAAACTTTACTGCACTCTACTGCTGATTGATCAGGCAGGATGCAGCCACCTCTGCAGATTCGATTCATATGGAAACCAGGAGGTTTGCTGTTCTGGCAGCAGTTTGCATTCACACAGAGTCACAGGCTCTTAGTTTTTGCAGACACTAAAAGGTCAAAGAGTAGAATCTCAGCATCCAGACAGTAAATGCTTTTTGAGGAATTAACATCACCAACCCGTCTCCAACTTACAGTAAACATCCTCCTCATTCAAGTCAGACTGTAAGGGGTCAGCACTTTAAAAGCACTGCTGGCCTCAGTGGCCCACATATCGGCATTTATTGGACAATGAAGCAGCTGCTGTCCGGGTCGACACTGCATGTAGGTCAGAGTTAAGACCCAGAGAGGCTAAGCTGAGGATTCCGGGGCGGAGCCAAGTCCTACATCCAGCAACGGAGAGTCAGACTCCTGCCAGAGGCCTTCTTTGACATGAGGCTGCCATCAAAAGACAGTGTGATTATCTTCCAGAGGTACAGCCTTTGTAGCAGGGAAGTCCCTCGTTATGTCCCTGCTCCTTCACCACAGTGACTGGGCAGACTAAGACAGAGTTTTGTACTAAAAAAAAAAAAACAGAAATTGTGAACCTACCCTTATCTTGGCATCCTTTACTCCAGTCCAATCAAAAATTGATATCAAATAAAGGGGCATGTCTGCCAAAAAAAAGACTGCTCCACGCAGCCTAATCACTCCTCAGAGCAGAAATATTGCAAAGAAGAATGGGAGAAACGGCCCAAAAATAGTTGTGCCAAGCTTGTAGCATCATACTCAAAAAGACACGAGGCTGTAATTGGTGCTAAAGGTGCTTCAACAAAGTATTGAGCAAAGGCTGTGAATACTTATGTACATGTGATTTTTTTTCATTTTTTTATTTTTAATAAATTTGCTAAGATTTCAAACTACCTTTTTTCACATTGTCATTATGGGAGTATTGTTTGTAGAATTTTGAGGACAATAATGAATTTAATCCATTTTTGAATAAGGCTGTAACCTAACAAAATGTGGAAAAAGGAAAGCATTGTGAATACTTTCTGGATGCACTGTACAGCGTAATGTTAACTTCCAGTCTTTTTTAATAATAGCGGGGCAATGGATTTCTGTTGATACACAACTGGGATAAGTTCTTCATCTAGTTCTCACATTTGCAGGCACACAAATGTGTACACTTGAGGCTGAACCGATAGCATTTGCATCCTCCTCGACATTCAGTCTTGCAGCCCCATTTTGTCAACTGCAGGCAACTCTGGGCAATCAGTAGAAGGGTGGTCCAGAGAACTTGCCACACGTCACCATCTTTCTGCCACCCCCAGTGGGCAGGGTTTTCAGTTTGCATTTTACACACTGTTGCTTGACCCCATATGCAGGCAGCTTGGAAGAGAGACTGTTTCACATGCTGAACAAGGAATGCGCTTGTTGGTGGAATGGCATCATATGGTCTTTGCTTCTGAGCAAACAAATCCAGTCTTGCCTCATCAACCTTGTCTGTAGTGCTATTCTTGTCATACATTGCGATGACAAACTTCTCAAGGAAGGTCTGCATCTTCTATGAAACGTGGGTATTGACTGAGCTTTATGAAGACAGAGGTCACTTCAGGACAAACCTCCCATGCAATTTTCTTGCCTTTGCCTCAAAATGCTGACACAATATCACAGCCAGTGAAGGCGTGAAAGAACAGCATGCCACTGGATTTTGCTGGCCCAAGATTCACCGCCATATCATGAATTGGCAACCACCTGATGGACTGACCCTGGCCAAATTCAACCCAAAGCATTTCCAAACCTGCAAGCAAGCAAGCAAGCAAAGTTTATTTATATAGCACCTTTCTAAACCTGCGTTACAAGGTGCTTTCCAGTAAAACACCTTGCATCCTGGAGAGTCACAAAAACAATGATGGCAACAACAAGAATATCTGTGTCACATGCTTTAATCAACACAGATTTCATATGTTGCTTGACAGCATATTCTTCAAAGTTCTTTGATGTCTTTGGAGACCATGAATATATGAGAGAGGACCCGACAATGATAATAGCATCACATTTTGGTTGTGTGTCTGGAGGAGAAATGGTAGCTTCCAGAATGTTTGCAAGCTGAGACTTCTGACCGGTGTGGAGTTTACCTGTGTCACTCAGTGCTGCAGGGAATGACTGATTTTCATATTGAAAGAACTCAAGCAGATCACACTCTCATGATTGACAGGCTGTGAAGAGCTGTGAGAACAGACGACAGTCATCTTTGAAGACCTGCTTCTTCATGTCACTAGAAGCTGCAGCTGCCTCTTGCTGAAAAAAGTCAAGTTTGTTCTTATTGATTGGCCTATAGGACAAAGCCTCATCACCTAGACCATGGAAAAAGTCTCTTAAGGCATCTTTACCTTTCTCAAAATGAGTTCTTACAAGCTCAGCTGCACTAGGATGTGCAATAGTTTTTTGTTTCCAGTGTGAGCAGGTCACTTGATTCTTCATCATGCCAAACAACCTCTGGACCTTGTCAGTGAAGGTCTTCTGAGACTGACTGGCCTGGTCATGATGTCTGATATCTTCTTTTGATAATTTAGCCTGCGATGCCAACTCATACTGGTAGACTAACTGGCTAACTTTTGGTCCAGACACCATCCACTGGTGAAAACTGGTGGCCATATTGGAATTAAATTGACACCATTGAATTCTGCCAGTCATAATGTGTTCATTTTAATGTTTAAATAATGTTTCTATTCATTGAGGCTCTACACTGAAAACTGTTTTTCACATTTGACAAGACGGCCATCTTTAAAACCGGCGGCCATCTTGGAATTTCAGGTGAATAACATATTTTTGTTAAAGGGTACTTCCTGGACATCATTTGTGCCAAATTTTGTAATTGTATCACCAAGTGAAAGATTCTTATGGAATATTGACTTCATCTGCTGCACTAAAAATACTGTTTATAAGCAACAAAATATAATAAAATAATAAGTAGATGAATAAGACAAGGAAGGAGAACAAGAAGGTGAAGACAAAGAAGAACAAAATAAAGACAAAGCTGAAGACAAAACAGAAGAAGACGTCAATGAAGGAGGTTTGTTTATCAAGCCCTTATCAAAACCGGGGATTACTACGTGATTTACAGCAAATCTGTATCTACACAGAAGAGTGGGCAGTGCGTGACGCATTGTGGAGGTCTGAACAGGTGGAGACACAAAGTTCCCACAACCTCTGGTGTCAGTCCGTGTGCGTTTTAGTGTCCTGTCTCCGTGTGACTTGGCACGTTTACCTTCTCTACTGGCCACACCCATAGCCAACACAGAGCCCATTCAATAAGCGGTACAGGTTAACAGGCCATTCAGGACCCTAAAAAACTAAATCAGACTTGTGGAATCTCAGTCGTTTCCTGGCATTTGAAACCATAAAAGTCCTGGCCCTGCTGCTTCATTAGACGCCAGCATGTCCACTGCTCATCCCCATCCTGCCGGAAACAGCAGCATGCCCCAGCAGCAGCGGCAGCCTCCTGCTAAAAATAACCATAAAAAGACCAATAAATCAGTGGCTGGATACCAGCAGAGGGAGGGACAGAGACTTCAGGAATCCTGGGTAAATCTCCAGTCTCTGACTGACCTTCGCCGTCGCCACAGATCTGAGAATAGATGACGCTTTCAGAAGACAAACAGGATGTTCAAACAGCTCGACCCTGATGTGAGAGTGTTCACAGAACTTTTACTGTCAACAGCTGGAGGTGTTTTAGCTCAGAATCACCAAGAATGTCTGAGTCTTTACTGCTGTAAGCATATATTCAGGTCACCCAGCCGCAGATGAAACCGAGTCAGGCCTCCGGCCAAATGTGGCACAAACCTTTTATCTGGAATTTCAGAAAACGGTCAAAATAAAACATGACGTCTTGGCTCCACACCCTCCTGCTGTGTGACCCTGAGCTGACTGGGCAATGGAGAAACGGCTGGTGGAGCAGATTCTCCACTTGGTGCATCTCTGGGACCCCAGCACTATTACTACAGACTGTTAACTGACAACATCCTGTTTTTCACAAAAATAGCTGACAAATTAATAAATAATGAAATTATTGGTCAGAGCCCTAAACAACAAGAACAACCTGCCAAAGAGTCAAACATCTGAAGGCCCCAACAACACAACCCAAACCTGAAAGCAGGCAATGAACCTGAACTCCTGTGTGACTAAATCAGCTGCACCCCTTTTTGTAGCTGTCGATGTGTAGCTTCAGTGGTTCAGA